AACACTAGTAGAAAATGATGAGCAGGCAAAAATTACATGATTTATGAAGCAGAAATCCAACATCAGATGGGCTTTGGTCAATTCAGAATTCATGCAGCGTCACCCAACCAATCAGGAACAAGTACAATAAATAAGAAAAAGTATGCATTTATCTATTCTAGGAAAGTCAAAATAGGATAATGCAGAGATAGTGCTAGTAGTGAGGGCACTGGTCTCTCAAGATTAGCTTTAAGACACAGTGGCATTACAACTAGAAGGATGAGTGTGGCTGTGGGGCATGTCCACTTGTTTCTTTTATTTATATCTCATTTTCTGATAGCCATCCTTGATATAAAAAATACGTCGGTCATGTACATACTACACGGCTTGGCCAGGCAATAATTTAAGACCACATTTGATTCCAATTTGCAAGTAATATCAACCAGAAAAAGCATCTTCTCGCTCCTCTATAGAGAATTTCAAATAATCTTCTCATTGGTGTTGTTTTGATGATAATGGTTAGGTATACCATCTTGGGTAACACAATTCAATCTCAAACGGAAAATATGGCATGTTTCAATCATAACAAGTGTGCACGCAGGAGGTCCTTATTCCGGATCAACTATGCTTTCACATTGTTATCCTCAATTCATGTATGATTCACTTGTTAATGATATTCTAATAATATTCTGATAATATTCTAGATTGATAATATTATTTTAGTAATATTCTAGTAATATTCTAGATTGATTTGATATTGATTTAGAGAATATTAGATATTGATTTAATATTGATTTAGATATTGATTAGGTAATTATAGGAACTGATTTAATCATTATTTTTATTTATTGTATTTTCTATTTTGTAACAGTTTATCTCTGTATAAATAAGCTTTAAGCTTCATTGTAAAATATAAATCAATATAATAAAGTTTTCATTATTTTCTCCTTTTTCATGGTATCAGAATTATTTCATGGTTCATTCTGAAGGTGAATCACCTTGGAATAATCAATATTTGCTTATTCTCATCATTGGTTTATTCTCTTTTCTAAACTTCATTTTTTGCTTATGTGCTTCAATTTTTAGGTTTCTCTTCCATCTTCAATATTTGTCTTTTATATAAATACTCATAACTTTCCAAATCTCTATTTTTTTCAAGAGCTCTTATGGAATTGATATTTGAGGAAACTCGATTGGATATGAATTGGACTCATAGTGTTGATATTGTTGTTGCTGCTACTGCTTCTAAAAAAAGTACTAGCTCTACTTTCCATAAGTTTTGTTCATGATGAGAGAGGATTAATCATCCCGTTTAAAAATGTAGAGCTAAATATCATTATAATAGTAGTCTAATTCATGATCCTCACACTAACAAGATTGCTGCGGTAACAACCACTAAACCAAATACTTCTAAGTCTTTTTTTGATATTATTACAATCTTCACCACTAATCTTCAAACTCAAGTATTATCTTGATGATCTCATGTTTCTGTCATGTTTGCTACCACATCAGGTAATTTTTGGTTGTTTGATACTGTCTGTGGAAATCATATGACTGTTGACCCTTCCTTGTTCAAAAGCAAAATACCTGTACCTAATGGTCCAATCATTAAGACAACAAATGAATTTGTTTTAAAAGCTAGCCATATTGGTAATATTGAAACCTCAAAACTATATATATCTGACATTTACCTTGTTCCTAATCTTACTTTAAATTTACATTATGTTGGCCAACTTTATGACCTTGTTTTGATTTGCATTTTTCACAACAATATGACTATATTATGTAGGATCCTCAAACAGATCAAATAGTTAGGATAGGGCATAAGGTTGGAACACTGTTTAAGCTTGAAACTTTGAAATTTTCATAACATTCGCTTACTGCTGCTACATCTCAAACAACCAACTCTTCGGTTTCTTTAGATTCATGGCATTCTAAGCTAAGACATGCATTTATTTCTTGAATAAAGTAACTTGCTTCCACTGATGTCTAAGGTAATATTTTTCATGATATTTTTGATTATTTATCTTGTCAACTTGGAAAGTAAAGTGCTTTACCTTTTAATAAAAATGATTTTATCTTATCTGTTATTTTTGATTTAGTCCATTATGATATTTGGGGTCTGGCTCTCACACCAACCTTAGGAGTTTCATGTTACTTTGTTATATTTATTGATGATTTCTCTCGTTATACTTGGATATATTTATTCAAACAAAGAATTGAACTTTTATCCATTTTTCATGAATTCAATAACATTATACAAACTCAATGTTTTAGAAAAATAAAAATTTTTATGTATGACAATGCTGCTGAATATACAAAAATTGAGTTTCATAACTCGTTAAAGGATAATGGGACATTTCCTCATAGGTCTTGCCATTATACTTCATAATAAAATAGTTGAGCAAAAAGAAAACATTGTTATATTCTTGACATAGTTCGGGCATTTCTCATTTCCTCTTCTTTTTTTGAATATTTTTGGGATGAAGCTGCTTTCATTGTTGTTTACACTATTAATCGTGTTCCTACACCAGTATTAGGTACACGGTCTTCCTATGAGTGTTTATACAATAAGGTACCTAATTATCATTCTCTCAAAGTTTTTGAATATGCTTGCTTTGTTCTATTTCTTACTCATGAAAGGATTAAACTTGAACCTAAAGATAAATTATATTGTTTTTTGGGTTATGGTATAGAACACAAAGGGTATAGGTATTATGATCCAATGTCTAAATGTCATCACATCTTAAGACATGTAGTTTTTTAGGAACATAAAAAGTTCACTAGTCTGTCCTTATTACATTCATCATGTTTTTCTCCATGTATTTTTATAGATTTATTTTTTGATTTTTCAAATGAAGTGACTATTATAGGTATTTTTGACTCAAACAATGATCCATCTTCTTCTACTCCCACTATGTCTGATCTGAGTAAGGCTTTTATTGATACAATTGTCTCTTTCCCATACATATTACCTCCATTTCATTGTTTTACCTGAGTAAGGGAACCCAACACTTAACTTCGTGATTTTTATTATTATTATGCTTTAGCCATGTTACATGAACCTTATAATTTTTATGAAGCTGTTTCTAATCTTATATGGCGGCAAGCAATGGCAGAGAAGCTTCAGGCTCTTGAAAAAACTCATACTTGGGATATTATTGAACAACTTTCTGATAAGTCAGTGATTGATTGTAAGTGGGTCTACAAGTTCAAGACTAGATTTGATGGGTTAGTGAAACGTTACAAATCTTGTTTTGTTGCTTGAGGATTTACACAAAAATATGGCATTGACTATAAAGAGACTTTTGCCCCAGTTGCACGTCTCACATTTATTCCTTCACTATTAGTTGCTGCTATAACTAAAAAGTGGCTAACCTTTCAAATGGTTGTTAAAAATGCCTTCTTAAATGGTGATCTAGTCGAGAAAGTCTATATAAAGCTACCTCCTGGTTTATTTGTACCTTCTAACATGGTCTATTGTCTTCGATGTGCTTTGTATGATCTTAAGCAAACCTTTAGAGCTTGGTTTTCAAAGTTTAGTACCACAGTTACACAATTTAGTTTTACATCTAGTAATCATGATTTTGCCCTTTTTACTCAAACTACTGAAAATTGTACTACTCTTTTCTTACTTTATATGGATGACATGATCATTACGAGTAATGATACAATTAGTATTCAAGATCTGAATACTTTTCTTCATTCTAAGTTTGAGATGAAAAACCTTGGTCTTTTGAGTTATTTTTTGGGCCTTGAAGTCACTAATGATTCTACTGGTTTACATTTGTCTAAAATAAAGTATGTTTCTGATCTTGTTGCTTGAACATGTTTAACTAATAGAAAGATTGTATCATCAACACTTGAATAGAATTTGAAGCTTTCTCCTTCTGATGGTACACCACTTTTAGACTCTTCTTTATATCAAACTCTGGTTGGTAGTCTCATATTTTAATAATTACTCATTCAGATATTACCTATGTTGTTCATCTGATTAGTTAATTTCTATCTGTTCCTCAATCTACTCATTTTGCTGTTGTTTTTTGGATCCTATAATATGTTAAGGGTACTATGTTTCACGGTTTCCATTTTTTCTCTAATTCTTTTTTCTACCATAAGCTACTGTTTCTTTTTTGGTTTTTCTTTTATTTTTTAGCGAAGTAAAAAGCAAACGGTGGTATCTCGTTCTAGCACTGAAGTTGAGTATCAAGCTCTTGCAGATGCCATATTAGAACTTTTATGGTTACAATGACTACTTCAAGATATTAGTGTTTCTCATCACTCTAGCACTCATACATTTTGTGACAATCGAAGTACCATTTAGATAGCTCATAATGATATTTTTCAGGAACATACTAAACATATTGAAATTGACTATCACTTCATTCGTCACCATCTGTTTGCTCAAACTCTTTGACTTGTTCTTATTACCAGTACTAATAAAAAAACAGATATCTTCACTAAATCACATCCACCTGGTCAATTTCTTGTCCAAATTTTCAAACTCAAGTTGATCTCTACATTACCATATTGAGTTTTCGAAGGGAGGGGTGTCAATGATATTCTGATAATATTTTAGATTGATGATATTATTCTAATAATATTTCAATAATATTCTAGATTGATTTGATATTGATTTAGAGAATAATAGATATTGATTTGATATTGATCTAAATATTGATTAGATGATTATAAGATTTGATTTAGTTATTATTTTTATTTATTATATTTTTTATTTTATAATAATTTACCTCTATAAAAATAGACTTTAAACCTCATTGTAAAATACAAAAATTTTCATCATTTCCTCCTTTTTCATCAGTATAACCAAGTGATCTTGGATAAGAATACACCTCCGCTACTCTCTCTCCCCCCCTCCCCTTTCACCCCTCTCTTTCTCCTTTAATCTGCTGTCTCCTTAATAGAAACTGTCAACATTGACAAATGAATAGTTATTACCAATGGGTCTAGACCTTTCTCTGAGGGTTAGACCACATATTTTTTCAGCCTATATATATGACTCAAAACTCTACAACCTTTTATTCAAGAAATTCTTTATCAAATATACTACAACCAGATATCCCACCTAAGTTCGAAATACTCAATATAATAATAATAATAATAGTTGCTATGGTGGGATTCCTGATTGTATGTTCTTATTCGATTTCTTCCTTTTATCTCCGGACTTGTACACTTATTTCTGATTTAATTCTTGGTTCATTTTTGTAGGAAGAAGGACAACAGTTAAACAAATGGGAAGGCCATGTAGATTGGAGGAATAGGCCCGCCATGAGAGGCGATCATGGTGGCATGCTTGCAGCCTCCTTTGTCTTAGGTCAGTACTTTTATATGCTTCCAAAGTAAAAAAAAAAAAAATACATAACTTGGTTGTTGCTGAAAAAACATTTTAAATATTGTAAATTCAACAATATGGGAGAACCTTTTATCTTGCAAGGGGTTCAGTATATGTTGTTTTATCTGATATATTAATATTGCAATTAAAGAACACAAGACTTATTTGTCTTATCTTGTTAAACCTTAGTGGTGGAGATACTGGAGAATCTAGCCTTCCTGGCCAATGCAAGCAACCTTGTGCTATACCTTTCAAAGTTCATGCACTACTCTCCATCAAGCTCTGCAAACATTGTTACCAACTTCATGGGAACAGCCTTCCTCCTTGCTCTCCTAGGTGGCCTTTTAGCGGATGCTTTTTTCACCACCTATCGCCTCTATTTGACAAGTGCTGCAATAGAATTTATGGTAAGAATCTAATAACAAACTTAAACTCTTAAACTTTATGTTTTGTTCCGTTTTGCAAGTTTCCCATATAAGAGTACGTCATTTAAAAACTGAACCACCAGAGGTTTCGCCCTGGTAAGCACTTGCCAGTGCCACAACCTATGGATCTGAGATGACAGCAATAAACATGCCAAAAATTGAAATCTGAAAATCAAATAGCACAAAAGCTGTCATCGAGTGGGGTACAAGTTAGTCAAGAGAGCACCTAATTGGCTTTCTCAGGTGCCGTGTTAAGTAGGGTATTGAAAATACAGTGATGGAGCTCACCACAAAATATATGTTGGTTATCCCAAGCAGGATGAAACATACAATGATCCATCCACTAGAAGCATTTGTGAACAATAGGGCATTATTTAATTAATTACACAAAGGGATATGGTACTACTCTAGGCCCACTTGATGATGTCCCTACCTGCTATTATCACATCATCAATGGGTTCAGATTTCTGAACAATATAATCCCTTCACCAGTTAGACAAAGTAAGTTCTAGCATTGTACAATTACATTTCATGGCAACCTGGCTAGGTCCCACAAATGAATTTGCCTTGCTTTTAGTGAAATTTGATTGGTGGAAGAAAAAAAATTCCCCATCTATGAGTCAACTTCAATTGAATGCGGCCCATGTCCAACCACGTGATAACTTGATTAAATACAGATGTTATTAATGCAACCAAGGAAAAAAATCATGCATGTACAATACAAGCCCCCTATCTTCACAAATAACTGTAGTTTGTCCAAAAGAGCATGATGGCCATCAAAACTCCATTTACCTTATTTTGTAGATATGTAATCAGATACTAGGGATTTTTTTCTCTGATATCATTAACTTAGTTTCTCCATGTTCTTTAACAAATTCTAACTATTAAACAGGGCCTGTTAATACTCACAGTGCAAGCTCACATACCTTCATTAAAACCACCAACGTGTGCTTTAGCAAGCACTGAAATTCCGTGCCAGAAAGCCAACGGGCAGAAAGCTGCCATGTTGTTTACTGGCCTTTATCTGGTGGCACTAGGTGTTGGTGGAATAAAAGGTTCACTTCCCCCTCATGGGGCTGAACAATTCGATGAGACCACCCCACAGGGGAGGAAGCAGAGATCATCATTCTTCAATTACTATGTGTTCTGCCTTTCTTGTGGAGCTTTAATTGCAGTAACTTTCGTGGTATGGATTGAAGACAACAAAGGATGGCAATGGGGTTTCGGGGTAGCTACTGCAACAATACTGACATCCATCCCAGTTTTTCTCCTTGGCTCTCCCATTTACAGGACAAAGATTCCAGCAGGAAGCCCTATTACCACAATGTTTAAGGTAGAACTCAAACGAATAAGACTATAAAAGCACTGCAAGTTGCAAAGCTAGGGCTTGACCCCTAATCCTTTTTCATTAATGTCCTGCAGGTTCTAGCTGCAGCAATTTACAACAACTTTAAGTCTAAAAATCCAAAAAATGCAGTCATGGGCATGGAGACAATTCCATCATCCTACAATACTGAAACCAGTGAAGAAGGAGAAAGTAGTACCAAGGTAAAGGTCCCAAGGCAAACTCTCACGGAAGACCTAAAGTTCCTAAACGAAGCAATCAAAGGAAAACCAGTTAGCCCAATGTTACAATGTACAGCAAAGCAAGTAGAAGAGGCAAAGGTAGTACTAAGGAAAATCCCAATTTTCATGTGCACTATAATGCTTAACTGCTGCCTTGCTCAGCTCTCCACCTTTTCTGTCCAACAAGCAGCCACCATGAACACCCAGATTGGTTCCTTAAAAGTTCCACCAGCTTCTCTACCTGTCTTCCCCGTTATCTTCATGATGATCCTTGCACCAACCTATAGCCATTTCATCATTCCATTTGCCAGAAAAGTAACCAAGAGTGAAATGGGAATTACTCATCTCCAGAGAATAGGAACAGGGCTGGTTCTATCTATTATTGCAATGGCAGTGGCTGCTCTAGTGGAAATAAAGAGAAAAAAGGTAGCAGTCGAGTCAGGGCTAGTTAATTCTGCTGATTCTTTACCAATAACATTCCTTTGGATAGCTCTCCAATACTTGTTTCTTGGATCAGCTGATCTTTTCACCTTAGCTGGCATGATGGAATTCTTCTTCACCGAGGCTCCAACAAGCATGAGATCTTTGGCCACTTCCCTTTCTTGGGCTTCACTTGCCATGGGATACTATTTCAGTTCAGTGCTTATATCAGTGGTCAACAACATTACCAGCACCTTTCGACACACACCGTGGCTTTCTGGTAGCAACTTGAATCACTACCACCTAGAGAGGTTTTACTGGTTGATGTGCATACTTAGCAGTCTAAATTTCTTCCATTATCTCTTCTGGGCAAACCGCTATAAGTATAAAACAGCAAGCTCGGCTGATTGATCAAATATTTAACTTTGAGAAGGTCTAGGGGCCTACTAGTTAGTTGAAGTCGACCAAATTCATCAGCTTGAGATCACTTGAATTAAGTCTTAAGAGCTCTATCCGATCTAACTTTGGAGAGTAATAGACTAATAGTGGGGTCTTTTTCTCCAATAATCATCTTAGCATGTCACCATATTAGGGCTTTTCTCTCATCCGTAATAATCTTTTCTACTTGTAAGCATTAGTACAAGAATCTCACATGTAATAATACTAATCTACAGGTGGTTGAATCAGTGCATGACTACAAAGGATGGCTAATGAAATTTGGAGTTATTTGCAGTTCTAAATCTCCTGCATGCAAATTTGTAAATGCCTACAAATTATTAATTTCATCTGTCAATATTGACAATGATACAATCTAACAGCTACGGCAACAAAACTTTGAAAGCTCAATATCTGAATGTTTAATGTCATTAATCAGAGGTGGATGTTACCTTTCATTCTGTCAGTTCAATCAGCTAATAAATGGAGTACGGAATTTGCCTGATGAAGTTGGCAGAGTGCGTAAAACATTACATTTCTTTTTTACTCAAAAAACAAACAGCTTAATCCTACCATACCCTGACCAATTAGTCAAAAGAAGAAGTTTAATTCAATTGGTTTATGTAACTATAAAGGTTATCTTTTGCGAGGTAAAAAAAAAAAAAAATTCTCAGCCTACACTCCCTGTTTGATCAATGATCTGAAGCTAAGTTTAGCATCTGAAGTTTGGAAAATAGGAAAATATTGGAATGATGAATTAATTACTCCACTCAAATAAGACAAAGAAATTTGGTTGTGGTCCAGGATTTCATGTCCCTCCCTGGTTAGTAAAAAGTATTTTTGCCTTACATTCTAGGCAACTAAACAGTTCATCATTAATTGAAACATTAACGCTTGCATTTGCCTTCTATACTGACACCATAAGGAACAAATGAAGTAGAAAACAACATATTTGCAAGGCGAAATGGAGAGAAAAGAACCCAACATATAATGAGGAAGTATTGGGTTCACCCGGCAACATAGAAATGGAACACTGAAAACGACGAAAGAAGTACCAGCTGGAATTCCAATCATCGCATTGTTTTGGGTTTCAGAAAGTTCGCTTTATATGTGAACAAACAAAATCAACAAATCAATTCCTTGGCCTTCGGGAAATAGAGAATCGAAACAGGGGATGTAGCTCAGATGGTAGAGCGCTCGCTTAGCATGCGAGAGGTACGGGGATCGATACCCCGCATCTCCACGAAATTTTCAGCTTCCGGGTGCGGAATTTTCTGGGGGTTTTTTTTCCCTCTGTTATTTCACAATAGTGGAATTTGATTCCTTTTTTTATTTGTTTTGTTTGTTCCTCTTACATGATTATGGATAGGATATTGCTTAAATAGATTGAAATTTCCCTTCCTTTTTTTTTCCCTGTTTTTATTTGCTTGGGAACCAAGCATGGACTTCTTACCTCCTTTTTGGGAGCCACGGAGACGAATGTTAATGGTTTTTTTGGCGTAAAAAGGGGTTGAATCAAGGCTGCTTAGTGAAAAGGAAATTGGAATGCTAGATTCTACCCAGGTACGCCATTGATGAATCGAGGATGATCGGTAACGATCACGAAGAGTTGGGAATTTTTCTTTTGTGTGGGTAATTTTTTTTGTTTTTTCCCTTGGTGATGCCAATTGCCATGCTGGATGATGTCAAATTTTTATCGATTTTTAATTATTAATATTTTATTAAATTAATTTGTATTACATTATATTTGAAAGTTTTATTATTCGAGATTTTTAAAAAGTATTTTATATTTTAATTAATAATAAATTTAAAAATAAATAAAGTAAACTTTAAAAAAATTAATTTACCCACCCTTAAAAATCATATTATAATATTATTTTTTAGATAATTAAAATTTATATTTAAATAAAAAATTAGGTGAAATAATTCCACGAATTATAACATTATTTATGAAAAAATGAAGTGCTTTCTTTTTTTTTTTTGTCATGAGTTCTAATTACATTTCTGCCCTTGTATGATGCCATGATAACTCAAAACTCCCATATTTTGATGCCATGATGCATATATCTAATTAATTGAATTAAAATTTTATTTTCAGACGGAGGTATTTCCCTTTTTGAAACAAGACATATATCTAATTTTGAATTAGAGTTGAGTTAAAATTATATTTTTAATAGGATTGATGTCTGCTATATTATATATTTATGAAAATAATCAATTACACAAATAAAAAAAAGATCTCTTTAAATTCTCTTTTTGTTCGATATACAAGAAGATAAAAAAAAACCAAGCAGTTGACGAGCAAATCCAACGACAAGTCTTTGAAGGCAAGTGAAATAAGTAATCAATGAATTGATGTTGAGAATACAGATTGATATTGGAATAAATAAATCCTAAACATATTAATTTGTATTTATAAAAAACCATGATCCATGACTCATGCTGATGATCTTGAATAGGAAGAATGGTTTAACATGTATAACAATAATAATAATAATAATATATGCTATATAGGATGAAACGTGTTGTGTTATAAATTTTAGGATAATAATAATAATAAAAAAAAAATTATTTATCGATTGATTGTGTTGGTTCATTTTAGAATATGAATTTTATTCATATTCGATAAAAGATTAAATTTTTTATATGAATAAAAATAAAATAAAAATTATATTGTAGAAATGTAAAGATGGAAAAACGTTATATTTCATTTATACTTTAGTGTATGTATGTATATATAAATAAAATATAAATAATTATAATTTATTTATTTAATTAACGTAATCATTTATTTTATAGGTGAAAAAAATATGACTTTTGTTACCTAAATTTTTATTTTTTATATATTAGAGACTTATTCACTGGGTTTTCTTCTAGCATTTTGTCGTTTACGCTCCTATTTGCTATTTATCTTATGAAAAGTTGCTCAACAATCACGTTAGGGAAAGAGACCTTTTTTCCATTTTTAATACAAAAATCCACAGTTTTTAAGCCTTCAGTTTCGGTTGAGTGTGCTTTTTCTTTATCTTCTTCTTTGTATGAAATTCAACTTTTCTCCTTGCAAAAAAAAGAAAAAAAAGAAAGAATTCCAATTAAATCAGGTAAACTTCTCCCTTATTCTTTACGATCTCAATTTTACATATGGGTTTCTTTGCATTTTGCTTTTCTGTACAAAATCTTTTTTTTTTCTTTTTTCATTCTTTTCGCTCTTTTTTTATCTGTCAATTAAATTATAGTATAAGTTTTATAATTGATTTAATCAATGAACCTAATGAAAATTGACCAAATTCAAGAAACCCATTTTGTTGTTTTAACTGTTTAAGCCGGCAAAGAAGAGATTAGCTGTCACAGTCCAATAGTTGTAATTTTTTTAGTTTAATATAATTTTGGATAATTTATTTATTTTTCCTTCTTGTTCATTTTTCCTATGAATGTGTCTTGTTAGATACAATCCATGCCGGGAATTTTAAGGTTTATTACAGTTGTCTAATGTGTCCTATGGGAACATAAAATTTCCATAATAATAAATAAACTCTTTTTTTGTGGGTTTTAAAGAATGAGTTTTTTTTTTTTTTTTTTTTTCATATGGTGAAGCCTCTTGGGAATTTTTGCTGGCTATATTGTGGGGACAGCTTAGATATTTAAACTTCTTTGTCATCATACATTAGGAAAGAATGTAGGTGGACAAAATTTTCTATTGGCTAGCCTTTTATGGGTCAATGTTAATCTTCTTGCCCTACAATTTCAATGAAATTGCAAAAGGCAATTATTGGGAAATTTTTTCCAAGCCAACTTGCTGCGGTCCTGTCTATTTATATATTTCATTTCTATTTGAGTTTTATCTCTATCTTTTCATAGTTTTGTTTGTTTGTTTAGTTGGAAGTCTTCTAAGACCTTTTATATGCTCTTATCTTTTGTCTCTATGTTATCTTGAGATGAACTGAAAGTTAGGTTGGTTTTATGAAATGAGGTGGTGATTTGCCAAGCTTGTTTGTAAATTGCCACTTGAAGTTTATTGGCTTTGAAGTTGGGAAGGTTGTTTTCTATTTTTAGTTATTTATACCTTTTTTTTGTTGTATAAAGAAGGCTGCCTAGAGTTAAGGGAAGCGGTCGCAGGTGCTGATCCCTAGACCTCTTGAATGTCACCTCTTAACGTTGGCTGAATGAACCAACTAAGCTAAGCTTCAAGTTCGTAGTTATTTATACTTTTAAGATAGTCTTGTTGGATGGTTTAAACTCGTTTAGTAGTAACTGCTATGTAGTTACTGCATCTTTTCATCTTAACCTATGTTTGGTTTTATCAATTGAGAGGTAGCATCCAGTTTCCTGTCCTGAACCTAGCTTATCTAAATTCCTTTTAGTTCTCTTGCGGGATTTAATTTAGATACAGCTATCTGATTTTAGTTCTTTTACGTTTTCTATTAGATTATGTATACATATTACCTATTTTTGTGATGTCAATTTTTATGTTACAAGGTTAATATTTATGTCCTACAAATTGCAGAAATCATTGATTATGACATATGTTGTATGCTGGTATATGCTAGTTCAGAGATTTGAGTTCTTTTAAACTGATATATAAACTGTTGGATTCTCAGAGCAAAGAGAAAATGGGTAATCTATTCTGTTGTGTACAAGTTGACCAGTCTACAGTAGCCATTAAGGAGAGATTTGGCAAGTTCGAGGATGTTCTCGAACCTGGGTGCCATTGCCTACCTTGGTTTCTTGGAAGTCAGCTTGCTGGCCACCTTTCATTGAGATTGCAGCAGTTGGATGTTCGTTGTGAGACCAAGACTAAGGTCTGTTTATTGCTTTTTTATGTTGTAGTTTTTCAGTTTATGACTTTTCTTTCTTGTAAAACTCTTAGACTTTTTAGGATGAAGTATTCATCCCGGTAAATTGCCATTTAGTTTTTGTGTATTTTTATTTTTTCTTCCAACTATAGCATATGCAACCATGTTTATTGTTTCATCAGTTTTCAAGGGGAGGAGTGTGGGGTGGTGTGGTGGATGAAAGGACTGATGTATAATTCTGAAGAAATAAAATTGTCCAGGATTTTCATATCATGAGCAGCATAAAGTGAATGGAATATTCTTGCTATCTGACTTTCACATGGCTTAAATTCATGAAATAGTAATTTTGGATAATAATATTCCTTTCTTGTGCGGCCGAAACTAACTAGTCTTTATGGTCATCCTATCAGGATAATGTATTTGTCAATGTTGTTGCATCTATTCAATATCGGGCACTGGCAGATAAGGCAAATGATGCCTTCTACAAACTCACTAACACAAGGACACAAATTCAAGCCTACGTTTTTGATGGTATGATATGAACAAGACTTCACAGAGTATATATTCACATTGCCCTCTTACATGCACACATATAAATATATGAACTGATTCGGCGCGTTTGTATTCATGTACATAAATTCAAAATTACATGGGAAATGTTTTAACATTTTCATCTTTTGATGTTCAATTGCTTAGTTGTTCAAAGTGAAGGATATAAACTAACTTTTTTTTTAATGTATTTAGTTATTAGAGCAAGTGTTCCAAAGCTAAATCTGGATGATGTTTTTGAACAAAAGACTGAAATTGCTAAAGCTGTTGAAGAAGAACTTGAGAAGGTAATCAACTTGATTAAGTATACATTGCTTTTATGTTGTGAAAGCCAAACCCATGTGGATTAAGGCTTTGTTATGTTAAATTGCTGCAATGTGAAGCTGATATGTAAATATGTTTCTAATTCTGTTGCCTATTATTTTTCTTATAGGCTATGTCTGCCTATGGGTATGAGATTGTTCAAACACTTATTGTGGACATAGAACCTGATGAGCATGTGAAGCGCGCAATGAATGAAATTAATGCTGGTAAAATACTTAGTACCCCGTACTTGGTTCTTACTCTTTCAAACTTGCTCTTGTTTAGGATAGGCTAACTGTATTCCAGAATGTCTAGCTGTATTCTGCATGTATGCAGCAAATAGATCTTACCACTACAGAAATATGAGAGCAATGCTAGGCATAACGAATTTTGCAGCCAAAAAAATAATGCTGGGTCTCATGAATTTACCTTTCGACATTGGTCTGCAACTTTCTTGTCATCTATTATTGCTTTAATCATTTTAGCTTTAGAATATATTACCGAGATGGATATCTATCAATTGGGTTTTAATAATGCCTCCCCATCAAACCATACCTTTTCTTCTCGCTTTTATTTTTTCCTGGATGAATGGTAAATAAAATATATATTTTTTTGTACCAAAAAGACAAGATGGCTCTACATTCACCCACCTGGTGAGAATCTTTTCAGTATGCCAGAAGCAGATAAATTTGTTGTTATTGCAGATTTGCAATGTTCAGTCTGTGCTAGTGTCAACAGAATAACATGATATTTTGTAGTAAATTATTACTTAGTATTTGGTTGTTATAATGTGATTTTAATGTAAAGATGGCATCTTTCTGGCATTTTGTTGTTTTACTTGTAACAGTATACTCTATAGTATTCTGATTGTGTTGTACTTGTAGCTGCAAGGCTAAGGGTGGCAGCTAATGAGAAGGCAGAGGCTGAGAAAATTTTGCAAATCAAACGAGCTGAAGGTGAGGCTGAGTCTAAATATTTGTCAGGGCTTGGTATTGCTCGCCAGCGACAAGCGATTGTTGATGGTTTACGAGATAGTGTGCTTGGATTCTCTGTTAATGTCCCTGGGACCACTGCAAAGGATGTCATGGACATGGTCCTGGTCACCCAGTACTTTGACACCATGAAAGAAATTGGTGCTGCTTCTAAATCTTCAGCTGTGTTTATCCCTCATGGTCCTGGAGCTGTTCGCGATGTCGCCACTCAGATTCGTGATGGACTCCTCCAGGCTGCACATCAGTAACTATTATGACTTTTCAAAGCCTTATAATGGGTTTTGTTTAAGACAAGCATTATTGTTTTTTTTTTTTTGGACAATAATCGGTTTTGGTATTTGCTTGATCATTTCTTGGTGCCTTAGCTCTTGTTTAGTTGTTTGTCGTTTGTCCCTTATGAGCACTGGTGTACATATGGTAATGGCCTGTGAAGTACACTGCCTGCATAATTTTATATTTTTATAGATGTTGTGAGATCTTTATGCTGGATTTTTCCTGGTTCTATTGTTACCATGGGCAAAGGTGAAACCTTTTTTTTTGGGGGTTACATTAGCAGGGAAGTCTGGTTCGAAATTAGGTCTTTGATGTCCCCTTAAGTGCCTTTAATCATTAGGTTAAAGGCTTGGGATCAATTTTTTTTTTCTTTGATCAAAATCTGCACATCTGCTTCTTTATTTAATTTTCATTCCAAATACCGTCATCGTTCCAAAAAGGGATTGAAAGGAATCCAATCGTGGTTCGCAACCAAGTTTTAGTCATTTAGAACGGAAGATTAATGTTCTAACATTTATTAATTTTTGTTCTTAGATTTCACAATTTTTGTATTCGTATCATTAAAATATTAATAATTTGTGTATTAGTATCATATTTTATATGAAAAATTGTCATAATTTATGATTAACACAAAAAACAAGAAATATAAATTTTTTTAATTAAATTATGAGTTTTGTTAAAATTTTAAATTGTATAATATTTTTGTTTATTTTCGTATTGTGTTCATGCAATCTTCCTCTTTCTTATATGCAACACTTGTTTTAACTGCAATTGATCATTCCAATTGCTCTTAGCATTATTAGTTGCATTCTATAATTTTCTCATCATGGCTAAGTGGTTTATTATACAGTAACTTCACCTCTCAACTTCTGAACCCCTCATCAAAATCACCCCAACTTGATAATCTGCATTCATTCTTATACATTATTTATCACCAATATTAGGAACCTGCATTCATTCTAAGCGGTAAAGGGTTGAAAAAACCTTCCAAGCAATTCCCCCCTTTACATATAAAAACTGGATTGAATCAAGGAGCATGATAGAGTAAATACTATGAATGATGGCACAAAATCATCTAGGAAACACTTCAGAGCTCCAGTATGATTAGTTGTTCTAGGGCTTGAGAGCCATTGAAAGTCCAATTCTAGGAACATTATTGCTGTCCGCTAAATCAATCTCTCCAGCAATAGAGACATAGAACCTTTGCCACACTGCTTGCCGAAGAACAGCACTAACCTTCCCATCAGTATTCATACGAGCCTTCACCAATGTAAATGGAAACAATGCATGCTGTGCACCAATTGTAAGGGTTGTTGCATCAGAAGAAGACCTATGCTTCAACTCAGCTGCAATTGCTGTTCTAGTCGGGGCGTTCAGTAGATGGTAAAATGATGCTTTTACACTATCAAAACTATCACTCCTGCATCGTTACAAACGCTAACAGCATTAAGCACTTTGGTAGGTGTTACTATTGCTAAATGAAAAATGTCATTTTTTTAAAAAAATTCTTTTTCCTCTTTAATTTTATAATAGATTGCTCACAGGGTCAAGGAAGCAATAAGGAAGGCACTATTCAAGCTCAAACCGGTACTGAATTTGTTGAGAGTCCCTGTTGTTATGTCAATGCCAAGGTCAGCTCCAAGAGAGACGAGATTGCTTCCTATTACACCCGAAATGTTTGCAATGGGTTCAAACCCTGTAGCAGGGTTTGCCTTCAGTCCTACTCCGGCATTAAACCCCACATAGTCACGCAAGTATTGAAGTTCTGCCTGTTTGTGCAATCACCATTGCTGTAAGAATTGAGCACTGTGCATACTTAAAATAGGTTCTTGTGAATATTGTGCAGTACATTAACCAGCTCATTAGGCAAAATGTAGGAATGTTTCAGATGATAAGTACCTTCCCGGAATCTGGAATAGTAACTCTAAAAACTGTATTCACTCCAGGCAAAATCTCTTCAACTGTAAACACCAAGAAACCTTGTAAGTCAGGAAACAGATGATTGATTTGCTGAATTCCTACAAACAACGACATCAGCCACAAGTCTTTCCCTGAGCATAGAGCAAGCATTTCTCCTGCCCCTTTTTACAATAGAAGTTATTTGATCTAAAGATAGGGAAGGGCAGGTTTGATACTATTTCTTTATCACAAAAGTCTGTAGTAAGGGCAGGCTCTTTAATTTCGCTCTTAGTTGGCTTTTATCTAAGCTAATTATGAGGCAGGTATAACTCCTTGTACAGTTTTACCTCCTCTATTTTCTATTAATGAAATTTAAATTTCTTTGGCTAATCCCTACAAAAGATTAAAAAAGGAAACAAGATAAGAAAGGAAGAGTGAATTAAACTGGGAAAATCATCTTCTCGAGTGTGTTACTGTTGCTATTCATGATAACCTGGCAGAATCACGACTATACTCTATATTGATAAAGCTCTTTTCTTTGCTGTTAACAGAGTTAGCATACCTAGAGAACACCAATCTGAGGCCAATGCTCATTGATTTTCTGCATTTTGGCCAATATATACTGAATACTGATTGATGCAAGAAAATTGATACGATGAACTAACAAATGCCATGAGCATAGGCCTTACAATTGATTAGACTGATTTATGTAGGTGTGTTTAAATATGTTCTATAATAGACTCAATTCAGATTGATAAAACCTGAATCCCACATTATACCATAAATGAATGATAATCACTCAATCGTGCAAGATGCAACTTATTGATCGGCTTAATAAATGGCCAAATACAGAAACTCAGGGATATAAATGCAGGTCATAGATGGTATATTGGTAATAGACTCTTCAATCTCATTTCTATACACTTTTTTGCAGACATGCCAATTAAGCAACAAGCAAGCCTGAAGTTTTTTCCCATTCTTTTCATCTAAAGACACTGGCATAAAATAGAATAATGGAAAACAAACTTAAAACTTAAAGAGATTAAGGGGAGAAAATTACTTTGGCATGAGAAGTCAAAACTCCAGTCGAAACTCTGATAGCGAAGCTGTAATGGTTGTTGTTGAGCATAATCCTTGTACAGCAGATCTAACAAAAATTCAGATGGTAAGTATACGTGAAGAATGCGAATTGCTTTTCCAGAAACAATTCTATATCTGTATTAAAGAACAAAAGATGTTAGAACCTCTAGCTTTTTTGCCTATAGCAAAGTATAAACCAGGATTCATGATAATTTGTTGTTCAAGCTTTTAAACAGCTAGCGGATTTCAACTTCTCTGTTAAGCTGTTTTAATTTTTTTTTGCAGGAAAATTTATTGAGAACGAGAAGGATCAGCCAAAAGGGAAGTTTCCAAAGTACTGACAAACAAAGGATCCCTGTATAAAACGAAATTTCCAGGAACCAATTCGTGTTCACTAATACGGTCTATAGAAAATGCCAGGCTACTACATTTCTCAACTGGGATTTCGTTACTTTGTTCAGCATTCAGTGACAACTTATAATAAAGTGAGCAGGAAGGAGATATACAATTAGATTTCCAGCAAATAGAGTCTTGTAAAAACAGAAAATATCAGCAAAAGTACACCTTGAAACCTTTATGAGTTGCCATTTGTGATAAGAGGATAATTTCTGATGTTCAAAAGTCGTCACATTACCTTTGTAGGTAAGTTTTGACTAAACGGCATCTACTATTGTTGCCTGTTGGTTTATTTACTTATCTTTTTTGTCCAATTTTGATTTTTTTTTGTTGAAATCAATATGCAGTAGAACCAACAACATATGATGATAGAAGTCCTGGCATAACCTGTGTAGAAAAACAGGTTCTTTTACTCTTTAGGTGATTACGGTACTGATTTGTATAATATATTCTTGAATTAAGGTTCCTTCCTATTGTCAAATTGAAAGAGATTAATATGTAATTTGATTCTTAAATTATATTACTTTTAATGATTTTGTACTTAAACAAAAAAAATTCAAGATTAAGTATCCGTAACTTTGGTTACATCAAGCAATTTGCATCATTGAGTAAAACTTTAATTAAAATGCTGATGCACTAAATATGACCAATAAAAAAATGTGTCACATGTTATTATATTATTGGTTGTTTTTTGCCACACCAGCTTATGGTAAATAAAATTAATTTGTAGAATAAAAAAAATGTTTAACGAAAATAAAATTTAGATACTTAATTGCAAGCTTTTTTGTAAGTATTAAATCGTAAAAAATATATAATTCACTTTGACATAATTGAAGGTTCGTTTATCATGTCCCTGAACAACATTTGCTTAACATTCCATTTATGAATGGGCTAATCAGAAAAAAGGGGCTGGTATATTCGGATCTCGATCTATATTCGTTTAATCGTCCTGGCACTAGTGCCCATTCCTTTTCTGAGAACTAACCAATATTTGCCTGTTAGTCGTGGTCCAAACTTCTTATGATCTCTCATGGTTTTTCATAGGAACTTGATCTTGTTCTTTTCTCAAGTCCCATCAGACATTCAGCATTTCCAAAATTTCCAAAGAAAATATGTCCTAACTCCTAATTAAGTCTCCTTTGTCCTAACTAGAGCAACTTCCCATTTTGCCAGTGGTTTTCTGAAACTGGGTTCTTTTCTTCTCAAACTATAAAGTAAGAGGAAATTCCGGTACTACTATTTCCAATCCAAATCCCTTTCCAGTCTGAAAGATAATTCACATACTCTAGTCTCTTCTTGATTAGTGGAGTGTTACATGACATTCCTACATTTCAAATCCTGGAATCCTAATTTGTCGAGCAAGGATGCAGAAGAAGACGTGGCAGTCTTTTTATTCCTTGTAGGGATTGCAGACATCTACACAATCTATTTCAAGCCAATAGCCTAGTATCCTAGCCATGTGAAACATTGGCAGCATGTCTATTTCTGAGAGTCATTCATCACTGGAAGGTAGAATGACCTTAAGTCAAACAATATGAATCTCAACTCAATTTAGTGGCCTATCCTATGGCAAGTGTACTTACAATGGAGCTTGATTTGTGGGTCTCAAAATCCAATATTACATCCAGATGCTGCGTCTGTGCTACTTACGTCAACCTATCGCCTTGAAGTAAAAAACAATTACACTTGCCTAGCTATAAACTCATTCTGGTCTTACTTGAACCTTCAGTGGAAGACATATGATGGGTATTTTGCAGTTTTCGGACTTGTCTCTCGCATCATTTCACACCATAAAATTCCTAGGATCAAGTTGCAACTATAATAATAATAAAAAAAGTTTTCGATTAATTATCTTCCCGAAACTATAAGTAGAAAAAAGGCGACCGTTAAAAAAGTGGTTAAATAGTCCTTTTATTATATATTTTTATTAGTTTGATTTTTAAAAAAATAAAATTTTTAATTTAATATTTTAATTTTCATTTTGCTTTTCACTTTAATACTTAAAATTAATATCATCAATTAACTTGTTAAGGTTATATGAATAGATGCTGCCACACGTTTAAAAAAAGTCAACTTAACATCATCAATTATTACGTCAATATTAAAAGAAATTTTTTAAAAAATTTACAAAAATTCAAAAGAAATTAAAAAATTAAAAAAATCTGAAATATTTAAAAAATTATAAAAAATAAAAATCTGAAACATTTAAAAAAATAAAAAAATTATGAAAACATAAGAAATTCAAAAAATTCAAAAATTTTGAAAATTTTAATAAAAATTTAAAAAATTTTTAAAAATGAAAATATTAATAAAAATAAAATTTTCTTAAAATTCAAAAAAATTCACAAAAACTTTAAAAAATTGAAAATAAAAAATCTAATCTTTTTTTTTGAAAATCTAAAAATTTTAAGAAAAATTGTACTAAATTTTTTACAAATAATGAAAATTTTTTATTTTTGGAATCTTACAATTTTAATTTTTTTATATTTTATGAAGTTTTTAGATTTTTTATTAAAATTTTAAGTTTTTTATTTTTATTTTTCAGAATTTTAAAAAAATTTTAAGATTTTTTAATTTTCAAAAATTTCAAAAAATTTTAGATTTTTTTATTTTCAATTTTTTTTTAGTTTTTGTGAATTTTTTTTTAAATTTAAAAAATTTTATTTTTATGAAAAATTTTATTTTTTTGAAAATTTTTGGATTTTTTATTAAATTTTGATTAAGTTTTCATAATTTTATTTTTATAATTTCTAAAAATATTCCAGATATTTTAAAATTTTAAAATATTTCAGATTTTTAAAAAAATTTAGAATTTTTTTAATTTTTGAAATTTTAAAAATTTTTAAAAAAATTTCTTTTAATGTTGATGTTACAATTAATGATATAAGGCTAACTGAACTTTTTGATACATGTTAATATTTTATTAAATATTTATGTCACATCAACAAATTGATTAATGGTGTTGTTGAACGTATTAAAATAAATTATAAAATGAAAATTTGAGTACCAAACTAATAATTTTATTTTTTTAGATATCAAACTGATAAAAATTGAATAGTATAAAGGTCATTTTTATATTTAACCCTTAAAAAAGAGATATAAATTATGTCAAATAATGAAAAACATAATTTTTGATTGATTGTTCTCACTGGAATATGCCGAATGGCTTCATTGAGACACTTACATTGGAGCATTGCTTGTATCATTTTTGGATCAACATTAATTCCCAACATATTTACTTCTCTATTAAATGAATGGAGAGCATAAAGTCACATTGTAGAAACACATAATCACGAAAAGATTTAAATGAGAGAAACTTTAACAGCATGTGATATATATATATATATATATTATGTATATATAGAAACATTATGGAAGTCAACATTTTTGCTAATTTTTGCATGACAAATCATGACTAACTGTTCCTTGGATACAGCTTAAAGCTCCACCACCTAGATGAAGAGGATAGAAGACACTTTAAAAGCATACTAGAAACACATTCCTAAAAATATGTTTAATGATGACCCAGTCACTTTGAATGAAATGGGGCTGTTAATTTCTAGCCGTTCTTTGATCCAAAATTGCAATGATTCATTTGGCATCAATCAAGACACTCACCATAGCAATAGAGAGAGTGGTTTAAAACTACATCCACCGTAGATGGTTCTATCATTTAGAGTACAAAACTGCAATGTGGGTTTGCAGTGTTCACTGTTAATTCAACACTTATTGCCTGTAATGAATGTCCTCCATTCTTCATTTATCACGGAAGTTAACAGTTCTAGGAACAAATTAAGATGTAAATTGAGTACTTCTTCCTCGGCTTTTGTCTTATTTAAACAAGTTGCTTTTCTCCCTAAACCAAAGCAGAGAATCTAGTCATTTTATACTCTTCTATTCATTCCATTACCTATGAAAGTATCATATTAAAGCAAGATGTAAAAGCCAAAATTTCACCTACTTAATTATCTCTTTCTAATCAAAGTGACAGTAATGGGGTGTGAATTAGTCGTTGATTGGGAACATTTTTCCTGTTTTTTGTGACACTGATCAACATCCAGATTATGAATCTTGCACCTCTACGTACGGGAAGTGGAGAAAGATAATTTGTCTCCCGCTGCTCAGAACCACATAAGAAGGGAGGAGTCAGAGAGCCATTGTGTACAACTGTGCCATAGCCTTTTTTGGTTGTAGGCATTGGATCAACTGCTTCTGAAGAGACAAAGGTTGTAGCAGATAATTGCGATGTCAGGAATAAAGCTTGGTCCTGGACCAATGCAACTTCTTTTACTCGCAGCATTGCTCCCGGACCAAGCTTCATTCCCCACATAAGTTATCAAACAATCAACCAGTCAATATTGCCTTGTTTTGGTATGATCTGCTGATTTAGTACTCCATTTGAGAACAATTTAATTTCTATTAGCTTGTAAATAATGTCAGAGTACACAATATGGTTATTAGCTTGTAATGATCTGCAGAATATACAGTGTTATTTTGACATTTATCATATGCACCTAGTCCCAAAATTTTAAGCCTTTGCACTTGATGCAGCAAGTGCCACAGAAGAGAATTATAGAGGTTTGCCAGGCTCAGCCACTTGGTTTGTCAGCAGCAGCTTTCCTGATTTGTTCAATGAATTTTAAAACTTCTTCCTTCTTTTGGATTAATGCCTACATCTTGGATTCTATTTTTTGAAGCTTAGCCCTTAATATCTCGGGGTTCTTTTTCCTCTTCTTCTTTCCACCATATGCTTTATCCTCATATTTACATTCCTTGTCTTTCTTCTTCTTCTTCTTCTGCTTCTTCTCCTTTTTGTCTCCCTTTTCCTCCTTATGATCTTCTCCCTCGTGCTTCCCTTCTTTCTCTTGCTTCTCCTCCTCTTCCTTACGATCGTC